GGTACAAAACACCTGGGCGTTGTTGGGTTGGCAAGACTATCCTAATAGAAAACAGCCTCAGGAGTTTGGAGTTTTGTGGAGTTGTTTTAAAGACACCTTTTCCTGCATGAGGTTCCAGATGCACATTTACAAGGCTGAGTCAAATGGCTGAGCTTAGCCAAGAAGAGAAGGCAGCTGTTAAACACGTTATTTCCATGCACCCATTGATGCACAGAATTTGTAGTTCAATTCAGAATTTGTTTTGCTGAAATCAAGTCCTACTAAGTTATATTTGGCTTGGTTTCTAATAAGTATATTTAGGTCAGACAGCAGTATTAGTTTTCAGCCTTCTAAAAAAATGTAAATAGAAATTTCTAACTCTTATGGTTGTGGGTAGAAATACCTAAATTTTATACATGACATCTGCTGGCATCCTCAGAAGTCCTGTAATACCCTCTAATGCTCAGAGTTTCTATATTCTACAGATGCCCATTTCATATATTTTAAAAGAATGTATATATTTTATGTGTTGTCTGTTGAATAGGGGACATGGTGGTGCAGCGGGTTAAACTGCGGAGCCTCTGGGCTGCCGATTGAAAGGTCTGCAGTTCAAAGTCGTGCAAGGGGATGATGTTCCACTGCCTTGTCCCTGGCTCTTGCCAGCCTAGCAATTCGAAAGCATATGATGTGAGTAGATAAATAGGTACCACTTCAGTGGGGAGGAAACAGTGCCCCGTCTTTGGACAGCGCTGGCTCATGGCCTTTGAAATGGACATGAGCACCACCCCCTACAGCTGTTTGAGCTAGCGGAGTAAAAACTGCAGGGACTCTTTTCCTCCCTTCCTGTCCAATAACCAAAAGTTATTTATATAATTATATGATAAAAATAATACACAAACCTAACAGCAGTAATCAGCACAGGAAATAAAATATCTAAGAGCAGCTCTTTCAGAACAAATCTAAACTGTAAATCTGAGAATCTAAAATGTGTGGGAGCAAAGGAGTGTCTTGCCTGGCACTGGAAAATCATAGAATAGAAGAGTTGGAAGGGGCCGTGAAGGCCATCGAATCCAGTCGAGCTGTTGCAGGACATCACGTTACACCATCCCACTCAGATGGCTGGCCAGTCTCTTGTTGAACATCTCCAGTGTGGGAGAGCCCACCACCTCTCTAGGCAGCTGCTTCCACTGTCGTATTGCTCTGACAGTGAGGAAGTGTTTCCTGATGTCCAGCCTGAATCTGGGTTGCTGCAACTTGAATTGGTTATTCCATGTCCTACACCCTGGCATCAGCAAGAAGAGATCTTGAGCTTCCTCTTTGTGACAGCCTTTGAGGTACCTATAGAGGGATATCCTATCCCCCCTCAGTCTTCGGAGGGCAGTGTTTCCAAACCCTGGATCATTTTTGTTTCACTTCACTGTACCCTTTCTAATTTGCCTACATCTTTCTTAAATCTTGGTGCCCAGAACTGGACACAGTATTCCAGGTGAGGAATAGTAGCAGTTTAGGTGCTAGGAGAGTTTCCTTGGGGAGGACATTGCACAAGTGGGGTGCCACAGCTGAGAAAGCCCTCTCTCTTTTCACCCACAGAACTTCATTTGGCTGGGGCACCCAGAGGAGGGCCTCTGATGAGGATTTATGGGCCTGGGAAGGTACATAGGGGAGGACATTATTCTTAAGGCAGTCTGATCCCAAACCATTTAAGGCTTTAATGATCAACACCGACAATTCGAAATGTGTTTGGAAATGGACTAGAAGCTGGTACAGCTGACTAAGCACAGAAGCTACATGTTTGTATGTTTCCCAAGTGTTTTCAAAGGTTGTCCCACATAAATTCACTCTGAAAGCTTGCCAGAGCATGGATAGCCGTCACCAGGCTGATTCTGTTCAGATAGGCTCACTGCTATATCGGACTAAGCAGATGAAAGCTAACGTAACAACCCAGCCATGTGGCCATCTGTGCCTCAAGTGATAATGGTACTTAAGCGTGGAATATACATGTGATGAATGACATTGTAAATACTAGGGTGTTCCTTTACTTGATGTTGCATTCCTTAAAGAGTGGATCCTGCATGGTTGGGCTCCATTCCATAAGTGTTTGGGGTTGCCTGAGCACTTCCAAGCTGTGCGCCTGTTCTTTCAGGGAAAGTGAAACCCCATAAGAACAAGTTGAACACTATTTGGCTGGGCAGATGAACCATCCACTAGCAATATTTTTGTCTTCTCTGCACTGAGTTTCAGTTTATTTGTCCTTATTTGGGCAAATGGATTCTTCCTCTACTAATAAAGAACCACCACTTGGTCTGCAGCTCCACTGAGCAAAAAAATCATGCAGTAGTGGTACCCCAGGGAGTCATCTTTCTCTTTCTGTAACTTTAAAACAGAAAATAATTATTTGGTTGTATCTCTTCCTGCTGCCAAGGTACACAGCTAGCTCCATGTTAGGACTTTGCCCCTTCTAATTTATCTTGCTCTAAGCCAGATCTTTCCAACCATTTGGCTTCTCTGGGCCACATTGGAAGAAGAAGAATTTTCTTGGGCTGCACATTAAATACACAAGCACTAACGAAAACTGATGAGCCAAAAAAAAGTCTGTGCATAATACTTGTGATATCCATCACCACAGATAAGCAAAAAAGTCCTCACATAATAATGCTAATCGTGAAGCACCCCATTTGGAGAGTCTTAAAATCATTGAGCAGGTCCCAAGTTTACAATTCCTAATATAGAAAATGAACATATCTAAGTAATAAAATACAAAAAATATCAAAAATCATATTCATTGATTTTTTTGATATTTTTATTGTAAAAGAAAAGAGGGCCACATGATACTAGTGGGATATTTGACATTGTATTTGAGAAACTAATGTATCAATATCTGGTTCAATGGAAGTAGTTGCAATTCTCAGTGAGTTCTCAAGGTGCTGATCAGATATTTAGGTTCTAATTTTACTCTTAGCATGCTTCTTTTTGGAAAATAGTTGTTCACAAATGAAAGTTACACACCGCTGTAAAACTGAAGCCATGCCTGCGTACAAGTAGCAAGAGCATACTTGCGTTTATTTTATGTTACATTGCCACATGATGTTGTCGTCTACAAGTTCACACTAGAGAACCACATAATCAAGTTACAAAAACAATCTAAAAAAAACCCCTCAAGATTTAAGTAAGTTTACAATTTTGTGTTGGGCTGCATTCGTAGCCGTCTTGGGCTGCATGCGGCCCACGGGCTGCAGGTTGGACACCCCTGCTCTAAGTCAATAAGGAGAGATGGGGATGAGCCTTTTCTTCCTAATCTCTGTGTTTGGTCCTTTGGAGGTAGATGTAAATAGTTATGCCAGTGACGAACATGAAATGTTGGGAAAAATGGCAGGGAAGGCATCAGGAAGGCTAAAGCTAAGAATGAACTGAGGTTAGTGAGGGCTCCTAAATGCAACAAAAATGCCTTCGTATTATGTGCAGAGTAAAAAAAAAAGGAAATAAGTGACGGTTCAACTACTCAGTGACAGTGACAAAATTATAGCAGAAGGTAAAGAAAAGGCTGAAGTGCTAAATTTTTCTTTGGCTCTGTCTTCTCCCAAAGGAGGTTCTGTGACTTCTCTGGAAAAGGTGAAGAACAAGCTGAAGGGACAGGATTGCAGCTTTAGACATTGTAGCTTAATAGGCTAATGGTCCAGGAACACCTAATTATGTTGTATGTGTTACTGTTATTGTCAATGTGCTGAGTGAACCACCGTGAGAATATTGGCATTGGGTGATATAAAAATCAATTAAGTAAATAATTACTTTGAACTAGTTCAAATCTTCAGAACTCCATAACTGCATTCTAGAGTAATAAAGGAGCTGCAGGGGAACTCTCAGAGCCACTGTCCATTATTTTTGAGAAATGGAAGAGGGGTGAAGAGAGCTAGATGTCTGGAGAAGGGCTAATGTTGTGCTGCCCTCAAAAGGGGTGAGGGGAGGAGGAACCTGGGAACTATGGACCAGTTGTTCTGACATCAGTCCCTGGGAAACTTGTGGAACAGATTATACAGCAGTCACTCTGCAAACACCTTGTACACAATGCAGTGTTTATGAGATGCCAACATGGATTTGCCAAGAACAAATCATGCCAGATCAATCTTATCTCAGTTTTTTGATTGGGTAACCTCCCTGGTGGACTGTGGGAATACTGTGGACATAATATATATTAATTTCAGCAAAGCTTTAGACAGAATGGCCCATGATATCCTGAGTAGCAAAATCTGGGCTAAATGGAACAACTGGCCGGTGGATTTCCAGTTGTCTACAGAATTGGATTGACAGAGTACTTAATGGCACCTTTTTAAACATTTTCATTAATGACTTGGATGAGGAAGTGCAGGGATGATTATCAGTTTTGCAGACAACTTAAAACTGGTTGTGATAGCTAATACCTTGGAAGACAGAAATAAGGTTCAAGGTGATCGCAATAGGTTGGAGTGCTGGAATACAACACAATGAAATTTAGTGGGGCAAATCCCAAGTTCTGCACTTAGGAAAAAGAAGCCAAATGCATAGTTACAAGGTGGGGGATTCTTGGCTCAAAAATACTATAAGTGAGAAGGATCTTGGAATAGTTGCAGATCCCAAGCTGAATATGAGGCAACAGTGTGATGTGGCTACAAAAAAAGGCAAATGCTGTTTGGGGCTGCATTAATAAAAGTATCACTTCCAAATCACATAAAGTAGTAGGACTCACCTGGAGTACTATGACCAGTTCTGAGTACCAGAGTTTAAGAAAGATGCAGACAGACTAGGAAAGTTTCGGAGGAGGGCAACTAAGATGATCATGGTAATGAAAACAAAGTCCTGTGAGACTGAAAGAACTGGACATGTTCAGCCTTGAGGAAGAAAAGACTGAGGGGAGCTCTGAGAGTATTCTTCAAGTACTTGAAAGGTTGCCACAAAGAGGAGGGCCAGGGTCTCTTCTTGATCATCCCTGAGTGTGAGTTAAGGGGCTTAAGTTACAGGAAGCCAGATCAGGAAAAGCTTCCTGAGTGATAGAACAATATGACAATGGAACCAATTAAGTGGGGAAGTCATGGGCTCTTACGCATGCCCTGGAAACATTCAAGAGGCAGCTGGATGGCCATCTGTTACAGAACTTTGCATCCTGCACTGAGCAGGGCGTTGGATCTGATGACCATATAGGCCCCTTACAACACTACTTCTTATGATTCTGTAAACCATTCCAGGTGCTAAGGGCGAGGGCAGGTGGGCTGTTTTCAGTGATATTCAAGCAGGACACTAATAAGTCTGAAGAAAAGACTCCACCTTTCCATTAGTGCTACTGACAGGCCTATTTGTTCCAAGCAGCACTGTTAGCTATTAGGATACTGACTTTGGGTTCTGGCACTAATGCTCAAAAGGCATCATGCAGCTAGTCTATCTTTTATTCCCTCGTGGATCTTTTTCCTATTAAGAAAAAGATGGAAGAAATGGTGACTAGTGGGAGGGGAGAATACAGCACCATCTGGACTCCCTATAAAATTCCCTGAATGAAGAAAGTAATTGCACCTTTCTGAGAAATGTGCTTTTTTCTTAAGCCATCTTTGTTTTCAGTGTTGGGGTACTGCTAATTCTGATATTTTGGATTGGGGAGGAGACTTTTGTAGGGTGGAGTGTGACTTTTGGCAGAGTTGCAAGGTTAGTATTCAGGATTATTTTGGTCCTCCCCCTGCCCCCTGGCCCGGTGCATTGGAAAGCTTTTGATGTAGGGAGCTTTTTCTTTTTTCTTTTTGGCATCCCTTAATAAACAATAGCAATGTTGTCCACATTGATCAAATAGTCACCTCTTACTTTTTTAAGCAGTGTGTTTTATATCTTTGGCATGCATTGTTGGATAGAGCCATTTAGGCTGCAATCCTCAGATCCCTCAGAGAGTATCTCGGGGGCCATGAGATGTTTCAGATCTCCCCCTCTGAGGGCAGAGAGAGAGAGAGAAAGACCACCCCCTCCAAGCTGCTATGGAAATATCCTTTGCTTTTCTGAAGTTGTAGAAGTAAAGTATGTGTGTGTGTGCTGCAGGGTGTTGGTGGTGACATTCTGTGCCAGAGACAAATATGAGAAGGCTGGATTCATATGATCCCTAGTGTTCCCATTGCCCCAGTGTGGAGTGCATTAGTGTAGTTTAATCTAAATGCAACCAGGGTGTGTATAATGAAGCCAGCCCTGCATTGTTCAGATAGGGACCCAGCTGGCAAACCATCCTAAGCTTATAAAAAGGTACTTCTAGACATCAGTGACATCTGTGCTTGCACAGGTAACAGCTTGCCTGGTTCTCCAGTCAACTTCTCTGGCTCTTTACAAGGAGCGCAAGCTGAACCAGAACCAGTTGCAGACTTCATCCAGATCAGCACTCATCTCAACCTATAGAAACTCTGTTGTGTTCAGGCTTTACACAGTGTGCCTTTAAACCCCATAATGAGCCTTAAGTTATATCTGATGGCTTTGTTGAGCTCTAGAAGTCTTGCTGTGCTTGCACAGACCAGACATATTACATGATGCTAAGTTGGCCTACTTATATGGCAAATTATAGTCATAAGCCATGTGGAAAAAGCCACAGTAGGAGATTTTATCCTTCAGCTTTTTCTTGTCTTCTTGCTTGGAAGATGAACAAATACTGCCAGTGCAGGATCAAACATTCCACCTGAAGTTGCACTGTACACACCAACTATGACAGAAGCCAGACAGTTGTTAAGGTGAGCGCTGTTGCTAGTCTGGTAAAAACTGTTGCTTTGATCATTGCTGTGTTTGGACATGAGAGTCCTGTTTTGGTAGGTTGTACACAATGTGTCCTTGTCCACACATTTGGAGGGGGGGTGCTCTTGCTGACTTCTGTTCTTTGAAGTTTGTGATACCCCTTGATTGCACTGTGAGCACATTTCCATTGCTGCTGCCATCTCCCCAGCTTAGGAGATGGTGATTAAGTGCACATTTCTGGCTGTCATCAAGGATCTGAAACAAGACACTGGGGTGATAATCCAGTGGGAATGATGCATCCCTGTGAGTAAGTTCACCATGGCTGGATGTCTATTTGCTGCCTTAACTTCCACCAATCTGGCTTTAATTTCTACCATCTGCCCAAGCCTTGAGGCCCTTCTTCAGAGCAGAGACTGAGTCCTCATCTTATAAATAAGTCTACACTGTCATCCTAAATCTAATTAGTTTAGTGAGCCTACAACCTTTTTCTGTGGAGGTGTCCTTGCAACTGCCTACTTCAGGGTGGTTATTATTCTCCCTCTCTAGAAGCCAGGTAGATCCCCTTGGACCCAGCTGTTTATTCGCCTCTGATTAAATGTCCTAGGCCAGGGGTCGGCAACCTTTAACACTCAGCCATTTGGACCTGTTTCCCACACAAAAGAAAACACTGGGAGCCGCAAAATCCTTTTGACATCTAAAATGAAGATAACACTGCATATATTGTTTTTTACCTTAATACTATGTATAGCTTCATTATGATTTAGCTGCAGCTCTTGTTCAGTCACTAAAAACTGTCATTTTTAATCTTACGTTATAAACTAGTAGGACTCCTTTCATATATTTTGAATAGGAGAACAGCTTCCTGCAGAGTCAAAGTCAGTGCTAAAGGGCTGCATGCATTAAACAGCAAACCCCATAAGTTCGTCAGAAGTAAAAGCAAATAAATCTATTTATTTATTATTTGCATTTATATACCACCCTAGTAGCCCAGAGGGCTCTCTGGGTGGTTTACAAACATTAAAACCTACCAATCCTAAACAAATAAATTGGCTATACAAAAGCGGATACAAAATTTATACAAAAGCTGGTAATTTATACAAATATTGATAATTTATACAAAAGCTGATATTAAGGACATATTTTTTGTAAGGAGGGCATCCACTTCTTATTTGCATGAAGATCTCTGGCATGGACACCATCAAGGCCTAGTGATTTACTAACTTTCAGTTTGTCAGTAAGGTTGAGAATGTCAGAGCAGGCCAAACCTCTAGTCCGCCCCGCCCCCACTTTCTCTAGAAAGGCGTTATCAGGGCAAGCCAAGTCACATTTGGCAGGGTTTATTTCCCAGCAGCTAGCGAGGAAATTCAAGTTGCTACATCTGCTGTCCTGAAACATCACTCATCTGCCCCAGAGTGACAATCTGCCTCTCCTCCTCACTGGGTGACCGGCCAAGACTCCACCTGCCATGTCCCTTTTCTTCTTCGCTCAGCTTGTTTTAACGACCAAGTGGGCTACCCACGTATCATTAAATGTTTGGTTTTCTTCAGAAACTTTTCTTCAAGATTTAACCATGGTTGGCGGGGGGGGGGGGGGGGGGGGCCCAGAAAATTGGTGGGACTACAGATGGAGGTATAGGTGTGTTTAGTGACTGATTAGCAGATAAACAGTCAAGTGCTGTGAATTGTGACAGGTCCCAAGCACAGCTTTTAACATTCAGATGAAGGAGATTACATTGGGACAAAGAGAACCTTTTCAGCAGCATTTTGTGTAACATGATAGCCTGCAGGAAGCTTGTTTAGCAGAGGAATGTTGCGAATTACTTAACTAGCTGATTTACTTAACTAGCTAGCACTGTTTTGAGTGACGGAGCCACAGCAGAGGGGTTCAAGAGCAGCGTGCGGCTCCAGAGCCACGGTTTGCCGACCCCTGTCCTAGGCACATATGGGTAGCCTGCAGGCCACCCACATGCCCCCTTTGCGGTCTGCCTGTGGCCTGCTGAACCCTTGGGAATGCCACCTGTTTTCTGGTGCTGCTCAGCCCTCAGCTGTTCCTGCACTCCAAAGCAGCACTGGGGAAAGGTGATTTAAGCTACATCATGGTTGCTGGAGAGTAGAGGCTTTAACCCTGTCCTCTCCACATCCCACACACAGTCCCAATGTAGGCACTTGGCTTGGCATCACTGGGGTGGGGGCTTAACCCTCTGCTCTCCAACAATCCTCATCCTTCCAGTATCACAATGCCATTCACAGCTGGCATGTGGCCCTTTGGGCACTGTACTTTGGGCAGAAAGTAGACCTTCAGATGCTTTAGATCTCAACCCCCAGCCTCCTGACCATTAGGCATCTGAAGCTCTGGCTTCTGCCCACCGCTAGCCTACAGCTGGGAGGGCACATGATGCAGCCAACTTGCTGAAGCTAAGCAGGGTTGCCTCTGGGTGGTCTGGTCAGTAGTTCCCACCTGGGAATTCCCACGTGCAATGCTTTGAATTCCATGACGAAAGAAACATGGGGTATAACTGTGCAGTTTGCTTTGTTAAGGGGCATGGGTCATGCAAGCAGATGTTGGGCTGGCTCTCCAAGCGTTCTGTCCACATTCTCCGGCTGCAGTTGCTGAAAGCCAGGCGGACAAAAGCAGCAAGTGGAAGCTCCGGTAAGGCTTGGCATTGCACTGTATCAGTTGTGGCCTCCAGATCAGGGCAGATTAGGAGAGACAGAATTCATGAAGTGCTCAGCAAACATATCACAGTGGGCTGCTGTGGGATCAATACAGTTCTGAGTAGCATCTGCATGAAGGGGATTTTTTGTCACTCCAAAGACTTCTGCTAGTTGGATTTTTGTTTTTGCAGACAGGGATGGCAGAAAATCACTTTTCTGTACTGTTGTTCATTACTGCCACAGAGGTGCTAGTATAATGGGCTCTGAACTAGAGCCGTGTGCAGATGGCCTCTCAAAATTCTCCACCATATTGGCAGGCAGAGAAATTGGGGGCGCATGACAGTTTTTCAAAAGGGAGGGTCCCCCATCGGCAGGTGTTGTAGCACAGCCTATTTCCTTTTCCTCTAAGGATGGCAACTGTTTGGCAGCCTGGCCCCTATTTTGCAACCTCCACATTTGGTCTCTTCCTCCTTAACATGTATTTTCTTGTAAACAAACAGATGAAGCAAGCCATGGGAAAAGGCAAGAGAGTTACAAATAGAAGACAGTGCCATCGGCACCCTGTGTAAAATTGCAGAATACAAGATTCATCTGGTGCATCAGAGTGAGACACAAGGCAGCGGCCAGCCTTCCTGAACCTGGTGCCCTCCTGGTGTTTTGGATCAAAACAAAAGGGTCTTGTCATAGCAAACAATCAGGAATGTTGGGACTTGTAGTGTAATAGCCACATGAGTCGAAGGATGAGAAGAGGGATGCCATGACAACAGTTGCCAGGGGAAATTGAAGATGAGGAGGAAAGCTGTTGAAAAGAAGGGGCAGTTGTGAGAAAGACCTGCTCCAGGGAGAGAAGAGGAGGGGAAGGAAGGAGGTGGTTTGGGGAAGAGGGTGTTTAGGGAGCATCTGGTCAGGGAGACAAGCTGTCCCAACCATCGGAGGTCAGGTTTGTGAGGGGCATACAGGGGTAAGAGGGCAGCTACATGCAAGACAGCTGAGAAGCAAAGCACTGGAAGAAGAAAGAGCAAAGTCATGTGGGTATGCAAGCACAGGAGCCTGGCAAGAAAGGGCAAAGGAGTGATCCCAGTGTAAAGTGAGGAAGGGAAGGGAAATTTAGTGTTACTCATTTGAAATCCAAATTAATGTTGTTAATATGTTTAGTTCCCCTCTCGGATCTTTATTTAAAAGAACACAGTGATACGAATGTGTGTGTGAGAGAGACAGACAGACAGACAGACAGACAGAGAGAAATTGCTCTGGCTTTCTGTATTACTAGCTAAGTCTCTTCCTCATTCCTTCCTGTAAACTAGCCACTGTTCTCCTTAAACAAAACAAAATCAAAATCCTCCATAATACGGAAATTCCCTGAAAATGTATCTTTGAAAAAGGAAGAAAGCTGAGTTGTTTAAACTTGTCCCAGCAGTTCCCAGAGATAAAAAGTTTGCTAAGTACATTTGACTTCATCTAATTGGCCATGAAAGGTGGAACCAGTAGAGTTGTTTTGCTGCAGCTTTCTCCAGCCTTAGGACTACATTTGCCAGCAATTCTTGGCCATTGGCCATGCTGGCACAGCCTGATAAGAGTTGTTAATTTTCTGCATTAGATCTGCCTGCATAGCAATACATCAAACTAACGTGTCAAGGCACCTTTGCTAAGCTGGAGTGGGTGCAGCCCAATGGGTGATACAGGGCAGGGGGTTCGACCCAATGGCCTTATAGGCCCCTTCCAACTGTACTACTATCCTATGCAGTGTTCGTAATCTGATTGAAAGTAAATCTGGAACGACTGTTTTGAAAGGTGATACATTTGTGTGGCTCACTCATTTGAATCATGGGAGTGAACATACATGAAGAGGCTGAGCTGTGAAGACTCGGCCACCAATTTACTTGGTGACTTTAGGCAAGCTACTTTTTCCTCAGTCATCATATTCCTCATCTGCAGTCACATAAAATAAAATTGGGAATGCTGTGCTGATCTGCCATGTAGAACTATCATAACGATCATTGAGAGAATACGCACAAAGAGTTTTGATGATGTAAATCCTGCTGCGCGAGCACTGCTTCAATGTCTTTGGCAAGCAAATTCATGGAAGATAGCTCTGTTGAAGGCCATTGGCCAGGGTAGCTCAGCAGACCCTCCCAAGTCTAGAGCATGGATGGGCAGTAGATCAGTAGATCTTTGGATGACTCGAAGCAGGTCATCACAGATTTCTGATTTCCTTTAAAAAAAACAACAATGGCAGCATCAAAATGGCCCCAGCCTTTTTCTCTGTCAAATTGAAGAAAACTGGGTGGGGTAATAAAGAGTGGATATTTTGTGGAAGGGCCTTGAGTGCATTTCATTTCCGCTTCTAAAATCAAATCCCCGGGCTCATATTTCTTTAATTTGAAGTGTATGCCTTTTGTGCCAAGCTCTGCTCTCCACCTTTCCTAGCCAATTGAATGAATACAAATTTATTTAGAAAACCATTTATCTCTGGCAACAGCTGGGACAGGTTTAAACAATGCAGCTTTGCTGCTTTTTCAAAGATACCTTTTCAGGGAATTTCCTTAACAAGGAGGATTTTGAGGATTTTGGTTTGGTGGAATTTGGCTTTCTAATAAAAAAACTAGTAGATCTCACAGGCCTGAAGCCTGCTCTTACTGTTTACAGGAAGTATACTTGAATGCAGGATACTGGGGGAAAGGGGGAGATTCACAGAACAGCTGAGTCAGAAGGGACCTGAAAGGTCATTGAGTCCAACCCCCTGCTAGTGCAGAATGCCAGTTACACCATCCCAGTCAGATAACTGGAAGGATCATTCCCACCATGCATTTGTGGGCTTCCCTGAGGGATTAACTTGGCAATGTTAAGAACCAGGATGTTTGACTAGTAGATTCTTATTCAGCATGGGAAGATGGGTGGGGGAGATGGGCGGGATCGCAGGTGTGCTGGGGGGGAGATGGGTGCGATTGCGGGGCCATCTCCCCCTCCCCCCCGAGCATGATTGCACCCGTCTTCACCCAAGCACAATCGTGCAGGGAAGATGGGCGTGATCATGATCATCACCCCATGTGGAGTTCGTGACCCGAGGCAAAATTTTGCCAAAATTTCTGTTCACAACCCGATTTAGTTGTGAACTGAGGCATTCGTGAGCCGAGGTACCACTGTATTTTTTCCTCCCTTTCCCATAATAGCAAAACATGAGGTCATCGCATGATACTGATTGGTGGGAGATTCAGGAGGGATAACAGGAAGGATTTCTTCACACAGTGTATAGGTGAACTACTTTCACAAGATGTAGTGCTGGCCAACACTTTGGATGGCTTTAAAAGGGAATTGGACAAATCCCTGAAGACTTTCAATGGCTACTAATCCTGATGGCTATATGCCACCTGCAAATCAGAAGCAGTGTGCCCATGTATACTAGTTGCTGGGAAAAATAGCCAGGATGGTGTTGTTGTACCCATGTCCTGTGTGTGGGTTTCCCACAGGCAGCTGTTTGGCCATTGTGTGAACAGAGTGCTCAGCTAGATGGATCTTGCTTCAATACAGCACAGCCCTTCTGAGGTTCATGCACATAGTGTCTTTTGGTTCATTTGATAGGAATTGGCCGGGTCTAAGCTGGTGGCGGTATATAGGGAGTTCATTGTTTTGATTAGCAATTTGCTGGCAGAAGTTACTGTGGGGCTTGGAAGGTGGTTTGGCCTTCATGAAATGGCTCCAAGGGGGGCCATTGCTGCTGTGAAAATGAAATCCTTCAAGGCTCTCTTTCCTGACTCAAGCAGCCAGATTACTGCACAGTGTGCGTGACACTATACATACAGTTGCTGATGCACTCAGCTAGCATTCCAGGGAGCACCAACCCACAATGCACAGGGCCTGTTTTTTCCAGTTGTCAATAGGAGGCAGCTTTGTCCGTGCAGAGGTAGATTCCTAGCCATGGACCCTGCAATTCTGTTCTAAAGAGAATCTTCGTACCATGTTATTGGAAGTGACTTGGCACGTACTCCTGGGTCACACACCAATCTGTACTGAGTCAGAGAAAGAAGAGGAGGAGACACTGGGAGCCTGGGAATTTGAGGCTTCAGACTTTGAGATGGGAGAAGTGGAGGAACTAATCTCAAGGCCACTCACTCCAGGTGCAGAGACAAGCTCTGAGAATAGCCAAGAAGTAAAACTATCAGGAAGGGGCATGGAAGAGGAATTTGCAGAGCCAGATGAAGCTGGTATGACTTGACCCCATGACACGGCATTGGGAGAGGAGGACTAGCCAACTAGAGGTAGAGGAGTGATTTACAGAGAAAAGGCATGCTCACTTCCAAACATACCCTCCCAGAGAGATGGGCCTCAGACATATTCTACGGGAGGGTTCTTGGAAGTAGTTGCTAGTTTGGGTTCAGCAAGCCACTCTGTGCATGCTCAGAGATTCATCCTGTGGTTATTGAGTTTCTTGAGTATACTTTTGTGAATAAAGAATTTTTCCAAAGGAATAGTCTGTTGCCTTGAATGTGCACGGGGCGGGGCGGGGCGGGGGGACCCAGCCTGTAATAGATGTCAACAAATGCCTGGCTGGATCAATTTGCATTTATCTCTACCTGTGCCCTTCTGCTGATATCCTCCAGTGTGTCTCTGGTCTTCCTTTTGCCCTCAGTCCTGCATCTCATTGCATTCTTCACAAATCATTGAGCAAATGTTGGCATGATCCTGCTTTCATGCTTTTCTTTGGCAGCTGATGGGCTGACAAAGAACACTTAGGAGGTATGAAATGCTTGTGGATGAATTGCCAGGAGCAATTATGGTTCCATTTCTGTGTCAAGATTTCCCTCCCAAGGGAAACATTGTACTGCTGGATCCCTTTCTGTGAAGGGTTTGTGAACCACTGAACAGGTGCTAAAAATAGATCCAGGGCTTAATGTGCCCGGAGGCAGAAAAGCTGAGTTACACTGTTGAAGGGAAAGTCAGATTCCTGCCTGCCACCAGCTTCTCACTTCTAGCCACCCTCTTATCTGCTATCACTTCCGTTATGACTTTGAGTGCCGTGGCGACTAGCTGTGCAAGTACTGTGGAAACCCATTGGATGGTGTTCATGACATCACCAGTAATGAGGGACAGTACTCCATTTTGTGTCCCTTTATAAAGGCCTGGGTTTTCAGCACAAAGAGATGTTCAATGTTCTTATTGTGTCATACAAATAGAGTTGCGTAAGGAAAGGAAGTGGTGAACACAAGTGAAGCTGCCTTGTACTGCAACATCCACATCCTTTCATGGACCCTTTTCTCCTCCCCCAGCCCCACCACCCAAATCAATTTTTGGAAGGCCCTGTGCTTCTCTTCTCCAGTGCACATTCTCTCCTTCCCACAGACGCTTGCCGATTTACTATTAAAGGAGGGAAACAAATATTGATACAATATGCTGATGTGACTTTCCTGTGTTTGATATCAGATGAATTTGACATGATTTCACAGGCACATGTTCCCTACCCTGTCTGACAGTGATCAGATACGAGTCCTGTGAGAATTACATCGGAAAATTCAGATAAGATATACCTTGTGGGTACACAGGCCCTCACTTCTGAGAAAGGAACGTGTATCACTTGTTATAGACTTCCTTGCTCTCAGTCCTTGCAGCTGCCTTGTACTCTTCTGTGCAGTCAAATGTTTCAGTGGTTTCATTCTCTTTCTGTAACCCTTGCAGTAAGCTGAGGGGAGCGTGGGCACCTGTTCCTTGAAACTATATTGAAATGACCAAGTCCACATGCTCTGTAGATTTTTTTAACTTAATGTTTTAATCTGTGGGAATCTTGCTTAGTGATTCTCGACCTTTGACCTGGCTGAGACTGGCTTCTACAGCAGTTTCTCTGGTCTTTTATGGTTTTTTTTTTTTTTAAATTACATTTTGGTGAGGCATGTGTAACTGCTTTCTGTTTGGAGCACCATTCTACCAAATGTATCACCTTCCAACTCCCCTTGTTCTAAAAGACATGTCAGCAAGGTGCTTAGGGGGCAGGCAGTCTACAATTCCTCTTGAACCAGTCTTGGCTTGAAAACTAGCTGCATAACTATTGTCAGCTGTGCCACTGCCAAATGGACTTAACAGAGCCTTTAGTCCAGCTTTCTTTAAGCTGGTAACTTCCAGAAGTGTTGTACTACACTTCCCATCATTCCTAGCTAGCTGAAATATGGGAAATGCAGTGCCACCCATCTGGGTGGCCACCAGCTTAGGGGAAGAATGCTTTCGGTATTTGGTTTGGTTTTGTTTTTGTACTGACCAAGTCTTTTGCTTTGTTACATACCTCAAAGATTCAGTAATAAGTAGAGTTTTGTATGAGTCTTCAAGATGTCAGGGGGCATCATCACTCCCCAAAGAATATCCTGTAGACTTTGATTGCTTTCTGTCCCTGCATCCTTCCTGAGTTCTAAACATTCTCTCCACACACACCATAAAACAAAAATGCATCAGGAAGCAAATAGGTGGTTTGGTGCAGCTTCCTCAATGGCATGTGGGTGGGGTGCTTTGGCCACATAAGAATCAGCACTCCCTGCTAAGAATCCTTAACAGAGAGAGTGATAACCATTTGACATCCAATGCCTTTTGAACATTTAATAATACAATGCAGGGAAGGAGAAAATGAAGTGGCACATTATAAATGCAAAGTATTAAGCAGAAACAACGATCTGGCTAGCTAAGCACCAGGGTGGGTATGTGCTGGCCGTGCTAGATTCCCAGAGTTTGAGGTTTGTGAGACCACCTTATGCTGCCAATGCTATAAAATGCCAGCAGTGGCTCTTTGTTTGGTTAAACCTTGTCTTGATTAAAGGGCTTTATTTTAATTTACAATTAAATTAAATTGAATTAAATTAAATTACTTGATTAAAGTAAACCGGTATATGGAAGTGTTTGTTCATGGGCATGGTCTGATTCACCTCACTGTCTTTCTCTCAGGTATAATCTCTACGCCCACACCCGGCTGGGCTACCTGTTCTACAAGCGTCAGGTGAGGAAAGCACGGGAGCGATATCCCCAAGGACACTCCATTCCCCAGCCTGTGGAGTTCACTGGTGAGCACTGGTGGAGTTTAGTCATTTCTCCACTGAGCTTCTGATGCACTGCATCTTCTGAGTATTTCTTTTCATTAAACACAAGGCAATATATTTTGGTTATGATGTGGATTTTAGCTTCCCAAGTATTTTCCCATTTTTTCCTTTTCTTTTTTTTCCTTCTTTGCAAGGGACATGAATAAGTTTCAGCTTTCACAAGTGGCATCTTTTTGATCAGTTAAAATGGTTGGAGGTTCAAGTCGGGCCTGTCTGATGGGTTGCATTTTTTTCTAATTTCAGCCTTTTTATGGCCATATGAGTAATTTTTTAATCTCACTTGCACTGTTGCACAAATGAACTTGTTTATTAACACTGCCCCATCCCAGTCTCCATCCCCAATCTTCAAAAATGTTCACTACTTTGAACTATATTCTTTTTTGATTTGTGTTTACATCTTTGTGTGCTTTTGCTTTCATTTGTTTTCTGAGCAGAGGGCCTCTTATATATACAAGGGGGGAACCGCCCCCCCCCCAAAAAACCTCCAGGAATTATCTTCTGGAGGGTGGGCCCTTGTTTTACAGGCTTTCTCCGCTGGGTGAGTGTTGTAGGAACCCATCTACATCATGTACCCAGCTGGGTTGTTGCGAGAGGCTGCATTCAGCTTCAGTGAGGGTTTTTTTGGAGACTCTTTCAACGGGTTTGCCTATTCGTGATGGCTGATTTACATGAGCAATGTACGGCAGTGAAATTTTGTTCGGCTGAATGTTCAGCAGTTTTTGACCAAAAATGGCATGACCCTTCTGCCCCACCCTCCCTATTCACCCGATCTTGTCCCATGCAACTTTTTCTTGTTTCCCTGGATGAAAAAGGTCCTCAAAGGGAAATGTTTTGCTGATGTGGAAGAGATGAAACAAAAAATGGCAGAAGCACTAAAAGGCATCAAAATTAGTGCAGTCAAAACCTGTTTTGAGCAGTGGAAAAAAGTCTCAATAGGTGCATTGCATCAAACAGAGGGTATTTTGAAGGTGACTGAAGTTTGAACATGTAAAAATAAATACATTATTTTAAAATAAATTAATGAATACCTGTTTTTTGAGGCTTCCCTCATATAGGAACCCTTGGGGATCACTCCTGTGTTCCCATGGCTGGCATTCCAAGGGCCATATGATGGAGCAGACTTCCCTCTCCACCCATGAAGGGGGGAGGTCTGTGGGTAGACAGGGAAATCCACCCTCTGTGCTGCAGGTGCTGAATCCTCTGCTGCTCTTGGTGCTGCACTCGTAATATTATTACTAGTGTTTTCTGTATTTCTTGTTTGTTTATAATATTTATCCCCCACCTTTTGTCCTGCAAAGATTCCAAGGTGGTTTATATAATCCTCCACTACTCTATATTATCTTTGCAACATCCTGTGAGGTACGTAACACTGAGAATCTGTAATTGGCCTGAAGTCATTCAGTGAGCTTCATGGCCAAGGTGGGGACTAGAAATCCAGATGTTCAGCACTCCAACAATGGTGCCACCCTGTCTCTTGTTTGACCTCCAATCAAATTATCAAGGGAAAGCATCACTAATACTATAAAGACCGCTGTATCCATCATGTTGACTTTCCTGTTCTTTCCTTTCTCTGTGTCTGTGCCATCCCAGGAGTGAAGATTTTGCCCATCCCTGTCCTGTCAAATAACTACAGCTACCTCATTATAGATACCAGCTCAAACTGTGCCGCGGCTGTGGACCCCTCTGACCCTCTGGCTGTGCAGGTGAGAAAAACTGTGCAGGGGACCACTTCCATTGTCCCTCCCAAGTCAGGACCACTTCCATTGTCCTTCCTTCCTTCTTTATTTATTTATTTATTAAAACATTTTTATGCCGCCCCATTCGCCGAAGCCTCGGGGCGGCTCACATCACATTCTTGCATTCTGCAAATATCCCTGGTAAATATCCCTGCAAATATCCCTGCAAATTACCACGCCTGGTAATGTGGCATACCACCCTGAAAAGTCAAAAATGGTTCTTTCCCCAAAATGCCTTCAGCATTTCTAACAAGCCTTCCCATCTGGGCATCATCCAGATGTTTTGTACCATTGGCCCCAGATGGCATGGACAGTAGTCAGTGCTGGGAGTTCTAATCCAAAACATCTGGAGGGCATCAGCTTAGGAAGGCTTGGACAAAACCATAGCCATGAAGGAATAGATTCTCTTCCTTGTCTATTCTAGATTCTTTGTGCTCCCGTGAGAATTCACAGTATGTGAGTAAGCTTATTAAACTAATGTGTAGAACTGACAAGTAGTTCACTGGCATGAGCAGAAGGCAGACTGGGATGTACTGGTAGATATGCAGGTGATGTGAAGTAGATCTCCAATTCCCAACTATTTAACAACAGCAACAAGATGACACTCCCTGCTCCCCTGCCCAAAATGCTACTGTTGGAATGAAGTAATCTAAAGTGTGTGTGGTTGGCATTCAGGAATTACATGGAAAGATGGTGGACTCAGAACAAATTATTGGCCTCAGAAGTCCTTCATTCTAAGTGTATTTCTTTTGCATCAGGCTCTGTTGGGTCAAAGGCACAGTTGATCCTAACCTTGAATAACTGCCTACTTCAAAGGCTGGAAAACGGTGGCTTTCCAGATACTTTGGACTCCAGTGCCCATCACTTCCAGTCAGCATGGCGGATGTTTGGGGATGTTAAGAGCTGGGGTTCACAGGTTCCCTGCTCCTGGCTTGCATTCCTAGAGGGAATAACACAGCATGAACAGCAGGCAGGAAGCAGCAAGGCATTGGACTGCTTTGGATGAAGGAGACTTGCGTGCACTGCAGGGCAGAGGACCAGGAGACGAAAGCATCCCTTGTGCTACTGGAAGGATCTGGTCCTGGCCTAGAATCAGCCACTAATTCAGGGATTAGGAAGGAGAAGTGTTTGGATTTCTTGTGATCTCTATATGGTAGCTGTGTAGGCTTGCATAAGGGAAGGCCTGGAGAGAACATGGCCCATACAGCTCCTTTTCCAAATATATAGTTGACATGGTATACTGAATCCTGTTTGTTCTCATTTTGGCCTGCCATCACCAGCAGAGAACATAATAAGTATTCTTGCTTGCTGCTTTCAGTAATCTTTGTCAGGGGATTTAAATCTGTGGTTAGCCTCGCCTCTTCTCCGCCAGCCTGCCATGTACTTGGAAGGCTATGGACTCTGCCCCCCGGCAGATGGAGAGGAAAGCAATCTGTTCAATAGGAGCTGAGCACGGCCAAGGTCATCCCAAGGTTAGAGCCGCAGCCTCACGTGATGAACACCATCCCTCCTGCTTGAGGCTTGTTTCATTTTCCTCTTCAAAGGCTCCTGCCTGCCTGCCTGGCGCTTCCTGTTAGGCTCAAGATACAGCTGCGTATTTCATTTAGCTGCCATCCATAAGGGCATGTGGGGTGGCCGGATGAGACAGCCAAGCTGAAGACCTAAGTGGGTAAAAGGTCAGGTATCACGATTTAGAGGGGGGTGGTGGCTGTAAATAATTCCTGCACATACCCTTCAGACCAGGGGCTTCCTTTCTGGGGGTTTGTCTAGGTCAGCCTTTTCCCAATAGAATTTCTTTCAGGCTGCAAGCAAAGACATCTGCCAGCATGGCCAGTAAACTGGGATGGTTGGTTGCATCCCCCCAAGGAGCAACTTCGTAGCTTTGAGGTGCTCCTTGATCCATCTTTGTCACTTGAAGCTCAGCTGACCTCAGTGGCTTGGAGCGCTTTCTACCAGGTTTGGCTGGTGGCCAAGCTGCAGCCCTATCTGCAGGATAGCCTGGCTTCAGTAATATATGCTCTGGTAATTTCTAGATTGGATTACTGCAATGCATTCTACATGGGGCTGCCTTTGAAGGTGGTTCAGAAGCTGCAGCTGATGCAGAACGTGGCAACCAGAGTAATAGCTAGGACTCACAGGTCTGAACACATAAAACCATTTCTGTTCCACTTGCATTGGCTGCCTCTGTGCTTCCAGGCCCAATTCAAGGCGATGGTGTTAACCTATAAAGCCTTACATGGCTTAGGACCACAATACTTGCTGGAGAGCCTCTCCCAGCCATGACCCACTCAGATGTTACACTCAACCTCTGGAGCCTTTCTCCAAGTGCCACCACTGAAGGAAGCACAGAGGGTGGCAACAAGGTCGAGGGCTTTTTCTGTGGTGGCCCCCGTTTATGGAGCAACTGTGTTTCAGCTGACACTGTATCTGTCATCTTTTTAGCTCCAGGTTAAGACAGCTTTCTTTTCCAAGGCCTTTAAAGACTTGCTTGGCCTGAAGGGGTTACCCATTCCCAGTGTTTCTGCAGAGTCTCTGTTACTGTCTTTTTAAGCTATTTCAAACTTTTGAACTTTTCGCTGTTTCTTATTGCATTTTTGGTCTGTTTTTATGGATTGTTATAAACAGTCCAGAGAGCTTTGGCTGTGGAGCAGTATAGAAATAAAAATTATCATTAATATTAACAATGATGGTAGTGAAAGTTGCAGTTCAGATTTAACATCTGGAGGGCACCACATTGGGGAAAGCCAGCTTAGCACTGTCCTGATTTACATTGGGACCATCCGAGTGAATCCCAATGAAGTAACATCTTTGTGCTGCAGCAACAGCTAAAAATGTGCCTATGCTTGCAAAAAATGCCACAAAAACAAACCAAGAAACACCCTTGGTAACCCCTAAGGGACACTTGACCGCATCCTCTAAGCATGTGTGGGGAGGATGCGGCCTGCCAGGTGTTGGTGTGCTGCAAGCCCAGGCCCCCCTTAGTGCTAACCAGTACAGCCAATGGTGAGGGCAGATGGGAATCCAAACATGTCCAGAGGGCCGCAAGGTGCCCATCCCTCTTCTGCAGGAGGCGGTTGTATTCACGAGCCAACCACAAGGAGCTCTGCGGCTCCAATTCCAGTAACCTCTACATAACTGGATAAAAGTGACTATAGGATAGATCTGTAGGGAAGGTGGTGCTTCCTGGTGGCTGAAGGCCTAGCATGGTCTTGAGCATTAGATCTGACACACAGACTCTCTAGAAGGCATTTATTTTTTTCATTTTTATACTACCCAATAGCTGAATCTCTTGGGCGGTTAACAGGAGGAAGGAGGCAAGTCAAGAATGGTGGCACAGAGGAAATGCCTGTACTGCCTGGAGACGGAGAGGCAGTCATTTGTGCTTCTGGGCACAATGGAGCAATGCCCAGTTTAAATTTGCCAATACTGCCATGCCCCATCAATAAATGTAGTCCTTTTCTTCTCCTTGTCTAAGCTCAACTGCCCATTATTCTCAGCACTGGAGTAGATTCAGCTTTGAGTCATATATGTTGGCTGTGTTGCTCTCTTTCTCCTAGCATACAGGGGCTTGGGACATGCCAAGGCATCAGAGGAGTCATGTAAATCTCAGTACATAGGAATGGGGCAATTGTCAGACTTGATTTCATTTAGATTCTGGAGTGGGTGTTTTAACACTTGTAAGTTTGTTTTGCATCAAATTGCTATCACCTTTTGTCCTGTGAAGTGTTCTATGTATTTTCATGCCACATTTTAAAAACCCACCATTTTTGCTAGCATAGTTTTGCAAACGCATTCATTTTCCAAACAGCTTGCCGATGAATAAGGTGCTTCGTTCATGCGCTGTCTGAAATGAATATATTTTTATGCATATTTTTGGAAAGCAGCGCATTTTTGTGTGCAGGCTTATCTTACGAGCTTCATCATGAGCTTTGGACATGTTCAGATTTAGAAGGCAAACATCACAGATCATATCTAAAGGAGCCTCTATGGGACAGGTTTTGCCCCCAAAAGAAAATAAGGGTAAGACTGAGAGAAGGAGGATTATGTAATCTGCCCCCGAATCCCTTGAAGGAAGATACACATATAATAAATCAATAAATAGGGATCACTTGCTTTGCCTGTCTCAGTCAATCCATCTGTGCTGTGATCCTGTTTGCTGAGTGCCAGCCTTCCACAGTTGTTGCCTTCCAGATGTTTGGGGCTTCAACTCGGTCAACCCCAGCTCACATGGCTGATGGTCAGGAATGCTGAAGTTATAGTTCAAAAGATTCAGAGGGCACCAAGTTGGGGAAGGCAAATGTATCTCCTAAAACCCCCTGTGTCCTTGCTGTACAATCAGCCACTGTTCCTGCAGTGGGGCAGAGGAGAAGCAGAAAGCAGGTAAACTGGAAGCTTCCTGTGTTCGAGGCTAGCCTGCTCTTACTGGGATGCTACAGGACAGGACTCCTATAAACCTTTCTTTCTCTTGCTTTGCAGTCAGCCATTGAGAAAGAGGGGGTGACCCTGGAAGCCATCCTGTGCACTCACAAGCACTGGTAAGGGGAAGCCCCCCCCCTTCCCTTGATGACCTCCAGACAAGAGGGCGAGAAGGCCCCAGATGTTGCGTGCTGAGCAAATTCTTTCTGGCCTTGGTTAGCAAGAGAAGTCAGCAAAAGGGGGGTGGGAGAGGGGGAAATCGATTCCATTGGGCTTGCATAGTCTGAATCTCCTGTGGCCCAGAATGGGAGTCGGGAGGGCATTGGCCTGTCTGGTCTACTTTGGGAATAAGCCTCTGGCTCTGGGTGCTGAAGTCAGAAAGGCAAGGGGGGGATGGGTAAGGGAGACGAGCTGTCCGTGGCCCCACTGCTAATGCGCCTCCTCTTGCAGGGATCACAGCGGGGGTAATGCAGCCCTGAGGCGGCAGCACAGCTCCTGCAGAGTGTATGGCAGCAGCCATGATGACATCCCTGAACTGACAGAGTGAGTGACCTTTTGGTGCTGCCCTGCTGAGTCCAGGACGGAAAGGCTCATCACCCACCCACCCAATTAGGCCAGAACTGTCCAGGAAACTGCTAACAAGCCTGCCTCCAACAGCCTGCTGCACTGTGGCAGGGAAGCGGGTGAAGCACACAGCGGTTGCCTGTCATTCCTGAGCCTCTAAGGCAAACGTAGATGTTTGTGTGCCCATGGGAAGTATTTGGACAGGGAAGCATCCCTGCACTTCCTCCATATCCTGAATGCTATTGAGACCTTCTGGGCTGGCTACATGTTACTCCTCCTCTGTGATTGTGACCTCAGTGTTATGTTATGTTCTAGTCCCCTCTCAGACAAGGAGACCATTGCAGTCGGATGCTTGACCTTCAAGGCCCTCTTCACGCCTGGACACACAGTGGGGCACATGGTTTATGTGCTGGATGGGAAGCCTTTTGAAGGGCCAGCCTCGCTTTTCTCAGGAGACCTCCTCTTCCTTTCTGGCTGTGGTGAGTCATAACCTGAGCAGGGTGTGGAGAGTGAGAAAGAAAGCTTTTTGTTTCTAGGGTAACTTCTGCTTCCCACCATTGGAGAGTAAAATACAAACCTGCCTCCTGTAGCCACTTGGGGGTAGTAGCTGAAGTGCAGAACTTGTGCTCCCCGGATGCAGTGTTTCCTTTTACCATCTGCATGTAAAACTCCCCCACCCTAGTGCACCCCCTGCCCATCCTTACTCATGCACAGCACTCACACACGCAGGTTTTACAGTGTGGGGCTTGCCAGGCAGGAGGAACCTGCAGCTTGCTTTCCACCCCAAGCATCCTGACCCAGTTACTGGTCTGTCAGGTGTTGCCTGGGAACCTCTAGGGAGGAACAGATGCTCTAGGAATGGGCTGCTTGGTTCCTGCCCGACTAACCCAATTCCTAGAGCATCCCAAAGGTCACATGTTTTGTATTCTTGCCTTATTGCCTCCTTTTTCATTGCTGAATCAACTCCTTGATCCTCCTCTCCAGGTCGTATATTTGAAGGGACACCAGAAACCATGCTGGCCTCGCTAGACATGACAGCAGACCTTCCTGAAGATACACTGCTTTGGCCAGGTGGACACTTCTCACAGCTTTGACCCTCTTTATGTTCCATCCCTCCCCTGACTGTCAGGTGCAAGAACTGGCCCACTCCTGCGTTATAACAGAAGAGGAGGAACACAAGGGGTGTCTGAGTGAAGCCCCCAGGAGAGAGTCTGCTGGGCTCAGGGGTGCCTGGTGGGAATGTCTAGCAGTAGTTCCCTACCTAGGAAGCGGCCTTATGCCAGACAGGCCTTTGGTCCTGTATTAGCAGCTTTGGCAGGCAGCAACTCTCCAAGGTGTCAGATGGCAATGTTTGCACCCGCCTCCCTCAAGATGCCAGGGACTGCCCCAGGACCTTCTGTCGGCAAGTCAGGTGCTCTAATGCTGAGCTGTGACCCTTCCACATAGCTACAGCTCCTATCATCCCCAGCTATCATGGCCAGTGCTGAAAGATTCTGGAAGTTGTAGGAATATCACTGAAGACCCAAGGCTGGCAAGTTTCTGTGTGTGCTGTTTTCCCCGCCCCGCCCTTTCTCTCTCCCCATCCTCCCCTCAGCCCAGTTGGAATCACAGCACTGAGCTTAAATTGTGTGTGTTGTCAGGTGCATTGAATGCAGTTGTGATTTTGCTATAAAAGAGTTGGAGGCAGCCCCAAGGGCTTCTGTATATGCAGTGCAGCTGTGGCCCTGATATTGACTATTTCAGAAGGCTTGGGTTTCCATGAAGGAAGCTATGCATGAAACCTAGAGGGAGACAGCTCTACAGGGAATGAAAGCAGGTGTAAATTGGGACGTAGCTGGGCTGATAGAGAGAACTTGCAGAACATTTGCCGCTTCTTCAGCACAGCTGCTCTTGATCATCCTTGTCCTCTTTCTAGGGCACGAATATGCTTTAGAGTGCCTAATGTTTGCAAGCCTTCTGGAGCAGAGTAACCCTTTCCTGGAGGAGAAGCTACAGCGGGTGAACCAACAGCGAGCTGAGAAGAGAAGCACGGTGAGGGCGCTGTGTATGTTTCTGTGTGCACATGTGTCCCTCTGTGTATTTTGAGATCGGCCCTTGCCACTCAGTACTCAGAACTGGAAGAGGGTGTGGGGAGTTGGTGCAGCTTTGACTATTTAGATCAGGGGTCTCAAACTCGCGGGCCAATTGCCGGGATGGGTGGGGCACGGAGGAGGGGCCCTGCGGCCTTCAAAGCGCCAGTGGCGCCTGGGCCGGCCTCCGGGAGCGATGTGGGATGAGCGGCCCACCACCACCGCTTGATGCAGCCCAGTCTCACCCAGACTCTACTTCCAGCGGCCCCCAGGTAAGTTGAGTTTGAGACCCCTGATTTAGATGAATGCCAGCTTCAACTAGCTTTGTCTGTTTCTCTCTCTTCCCTTTGGCTTCCAATGCAGCACGTGTGCATGTCTATTCTCTCCACTCCTCAAAGCCCCGCTTTGGGCATTCAGCCTTCTTCCACTGCAGGTGCCATGGCATTCACCCAGGAGCAACTTCCTGGCTTTTTCTCCTGTCTGGAAACACCTGTCTGGCGAGTTTCCTGCAGCCTGCGCTTTCCTCCAGCCATCTGTTTCTGGTTGGGATTTGAAAGTGGTGCAACACCTATTGAGAAATGTTCCGGGTTGGCCGTCTGAGGAGGGGGAGGATGGGACCTGTTGTCGGGACAAGAGGAAACCTCTTGTCTGCAAGACCCGCAGCAGGCTTGTACGCAGGCCCTTGTCATCTTGGTTGCTTGTAGTGCAGTTTTGCTTGTGACATGTTAATAGCTTGTGTTACAAGGATCGTCAGAGCTATTGGATGTGTGTCCTGGTGCTGGAGGCCGAGGCCTTGCTTGTCCCCAGCCATATTGTGATCTGCAGACTGCTTTCTGGCAATCAGCCAAAGCAGGGCTTCTCTGCAGTGAAATCTCCCTTATAGTCACCTGCCCATTGTTACTGGAGAAGCACAACTGTGGCTCGTTAAGGTGCCTGTTTAAAGACCTACGCCTTTCCCCAAAGCCTCCCCTGAATGATTGTGTTACTCAGCTAGCTAGTTTGTTGCTGTTAGTTATGCTTTTAAATACTTGAAGCATTTTAACTGGTAAGTGTTTGCATGTATGATGTATTTCAGTTCTTCATTCTGTGAACTGCTTTGAGAGATTTTTAGATACTGTAAGCAGGATATAATGTGATTAACGAAATAACCTTTAAGTTGGCCAGGTGAGCCCCAGTCACATGCATGTGCATGCACGCATGTAGCTCCACCCACATTTCTGGGAGGAGCGTCCCAGCCTCAGCCACTCCCATTCCTGCCCTAGTCCCCTCCCCTTTCTTGCTCCCTGTCCCTGTAAGAGCTCCCCGCTTTTTCATCAGTTTGCTTCCCCCTTCAAGATAGCCAGCCATCTCAGAGGCCATAGAGGTGTCCGAAGCCCCGCTCTGCAGTCCGTGGGCACTGCTGTGCTCTCAGAAGTGGCACTCTGGATTGCAGTCTCCCTGCCCTGCCCTCTTGCAGCTATTGTGGCACTGGCTGCTTCCTGGACGGCAGATGGGAGGGTGTTCTGGTAGACGGGGAGAGAAGAGAGAGGATTGAGAAATCCTATGGCCTTTGCAGCCCCAGCCCAGCCCCCACCAGCATGTCCCCACTGACAGGCTCAAAGGGCCATCTAGAGTTTAAACATTTACAAGGGGGCCAGAGAGGTGAAAGTCACCTTGGTCACTCTGCTTGTCCTGTTGTCTGCAGCCTGGCAGGGCATTGGATATGCAGAAGATTGGAGGTTTCCCCCTAAGGGAAGTGCAATCCTGAGTCACTTTTAACCCGTTTCCACTGCAAAGCATTGACTAGTGCAACAAGCCCTCACCTGCTATACCTCTGTCCATCCGTTTTAATCTCCCCTGCCTTTGACATCCAATTCATAAGAGTCAGCGAGGCCAGATGAAAAGTTGGAGGAAGTCAGATCTGCTCTGTAAGCCAAAGTTCTGCCCCTCCCATTGTTCCCACCCCAGGTTCACAGGAAAGCAGCAAGCTAATCATAGTACCATTTTAATATTTAACTGATTAAACTGTATTTTAAGCTTTTGTACATTTTGGAATGTTTCGATTGTGCAAGTTGTTTTATGCTGTGACCTTCCTTTAGTCCCAGTGACTGGGAATAGGCAGAATATAGGTAAATACCATCATCATCCTCACCGTGCAGTTACCAGAGTAAGCTGCCCATTGCTTGCTGATCGCAATATGCCTCGTCTCCATCTCTGTTCCTTCAGTGTCCTTCCACCATTGGTGAAGAGAAACAGTACAATCCTTTCCTGCGGACCCACTGCCAGGCAGTGCAAGAAGCCGTGGGCCTACAACGGCAAAGGGACGAGAACTGGGACATCTTTCGGGCCCGGGTCCTGAAGGAGGTGCGACTGCGGAAGGACGCCTACAAAGCAAACTTGTAGCCTGGGTGGTGTGCTGCTGGAGCAGGATGTACTTCTGTGCAGGGGGCTAAGCAGAGCCTCCTCGAGGAGGAGTGTGGTCCCCAAATGGGCTCTGCCCCCCTGAGGAGAGATCTCCTGGGGTACCGATCTTTCCCATCACATGGGGTGAATGGTGGAATGAAGGGCCAGGCTCTTTGCTGGAGCCCATCTTCTCCCTTCCGGAAAACCTGTTGTTGTTATTGCTGCTTACCCATGCAACAGGAAGGGCAGGGCCTGCAGCCTTTGAGTAAAGGAGTTATGGATTTTCTTGCATTGGTTAGTGGCTGCTTTGAGCCCTTCTGTTTTGCAGCCCACTGCTCTGTAGGGAAGAGGGAGAGAGCAGCAGAGGGCAATGCTCAGAAGAGATGCTGAAATACGCATCATCATTTTCAGAACATGTATTTTATTTTGGGTATGCCTGCCTATTCTGAGCTCATGGGGAATCTCCTGGATCCTCTTACATTATAAGCACAATTGCAATACTTTATCCAGTTGTCCAATTAACTGGTGCACATTTGTCAGAACAGAAGTCCTGTTTGGTCTTCCAGCATATCTAAAGGAGCCATTGCCTTCCATCTTCCTGCACCCCAATACTTCCTCTTGGACAGCTGAGCATCTTTCAAGACCACCTACATCAAAGGAGAATGATATCCTCTGGCACTACATTTTAAGTAATGCTCCTCTTTTGACGCCTGTTAACACTGCTTTCTTTTAAGAACTCTGCAATTGAGCTAATTGGTGTATTCCTAGCAGTGAAGCCAAGTATGGATTTGTGGCCCTGATCCCAAAAGCCAGTTTTCCAATTCTGTGGGTCTTCCATCAGGCACTTTCCCAGCTGCCCATCGAAGCACAAATTCTTTTGGGAATGCATCAAGGCCAGATCGAGAATGCCTCTCCTTCCCACAGAAGCAGGGGGATGGAGCTCAGGGAGGCATGCTTCCTCCTGCCTCTGCAAACATCTCGCCCGAGAAGGGACCCATGGTTTCCTTTCAGTGCTGTCACATGCACATCGCTTGCTGGAGAGGTCGTAAATCAACACTGTGAGGGTGTTTTAACGGAAGCTTTATCCACCATAGTGTGACCATATGGTTGGTGCTTGCATAATGTATACAAGTTTGGTTCCTATTACCCTCTAGCGTCTGTTAATTGAGAAGCACAGCACAGGGCCAATTTCAGCAGAGGCTGAAAAAGCAACCTTTTACGTCATCTGAGAGTTTGGAAAATGCAATGGGAAAAAGCACTATACAGTTTTATTGCTCTGCATCTGTTTTTTATTTTGATTGTGTATTTTTGGCATAATTTACATTTCTGAGTATCCTCCATCTTTGACACTGTAAGTGTCCGATTTTACTAAGACTTATAACACTTTTAAGATATATTTCCTGTAAAATAAGAATAGGTTTGCTGTTTGAATTTGCACTTTCCATTCTGTCAAAAACAGGCTTTGTGGCATAAGAAAACAAAACTGAAAATGAAGGCTTCTGATGCTGCTTATACTTTGTTAAAAATGAAGTAGTTGGGAAATTGTTTGCTTTTTTGGAAATCCTCTCTAAGTTCAGTCATCACATTAAACAATACCCTCTTTGTGATCTGAAATGGGCACACCTACACCAGCTTAGCTCTGCAGGAAGCAAGATAAAGTGGGAGGGGCTGAAGTCCAGCCACTGAGTCCATGGCTTTTGGAACTGAATCCATGCCACTTACAAAGAACTAAGGCACTTTGCTTCTCAGTAAATGTGCATAGGGTTCTATTATTAAAACATCAAAGCTGAATGTTGGTGGGAGAAACTGGTGCCAGCAGAAGGTCAAGCATAGCAACAGGCCCTGCTTGACGCCTTCTGTCTCATTGCAATATGAAATGGAAATCAAGATTCTAGAGATCTTTGATGAGGTGCCCAATTGCCCCTAGTGCAAACAATAAGCACAGGATTGCTCTGTCTTTGCCCTGTGCTTGGCCATAGTAGAGCAAAAGTGGACTGCCTTTTTTCAACCTGAGAATCAGATTGCTACCCAGGGGCATCCCTGGGGTCACAGGCCAGCAGTGAAAGAATAGGTGGGGTATCTCACTCATGCCACCACCTTTCATTCACGTGCATATCCTTCCCATCCTGTGGGTCACCTAGGAGGTGGTGGTAAGGATTTCTTAGCTCCTTTTCTTAGTGGCGACTACGAAAAAGCTCTTATCTTTGTCCAGCTACTCTTCAGAGATAAGAGCATGCCCTCTGTGGAAAAGGAGCAAGGCCGCCTTCACTAGAAAGACGTTAGTGAGGCCAAACCGGGAACCCCACGTTTGTGTGCCTGCTGTAGGAGCTACTGCCACTGCCTTAGTGTCATCTGTTGGTGAACTGGGCTTACAGCCAAAGCATGTGCATGTTTACTCAAATTTAAGAGCCATAGAGTTCAAGAGTGCCTCCTCCCATGTTCTAGGACTGCAGCCTTGATTTGCTGTTAGAACTCTTTTTGGAAGAAGATGCTAACGAGCACCACAAAGTCATTTTTCTAGAAGGGGAGAAACAGAAACCTGCTTTAGTGTGTGTGGATCTTCTTGCTTTTACAAGTGTGGGTTGATAAACTAGCTCACCCTACCTTATGCATGCCGGAAGGCCTGTGAATTTGGCTTTAACATCATTTGATCTGTTCTCTTAGCAGTTGACGTGGCCAAAGTTGCTTTTCCTCTCTCAGGTCCACCCAAAGCCTCTGCTGCCTTGGCCATAGCATGGAACCCTATTTAAGGGATCATTTAATGCTTCTATACCAATTTTTCTGAAGGTTTCCAGAAATGGAAAGGAAACATGACATAGAATGGATCTAGAGGTTTCTCCCCCTCCCCTCTTTCTCTTTCTCTTTTACAGCCTCTAGGGGAGGTAGATATCCAAATGTTTTAGATTTCAACTTTCAGTATAGTCAGAAGTCAGGAATGCTGAAGTCCAAAATATCTGGAGATCTATTTTCTGCTTAGGACAGAGTTCAAGAGCAACATGAAAGAAAAATGTTCTCCCAGTGCTTTTTCATACAGCTTTGAACAAGTTAATGGACTTCTTGTGAATTTCTGTTTGGTTTCTTTAGACATGCTCCTGGTATGCATTTTCAGCATACCAGGAGCAATCTAGCTGTGTGTACTGGGGGTAGGGAATCAGTGTTGTAGATGACAAACCCTGACCCATGCTGGTTGGGGTTGATGGGAGCTATAGTCCAAAACAGTAAGAGGACACCATGTTGCCTGCCCCAGAGATAGGCAAATTTGGGATTTGGTATGCTTTACCTGGGTTTTCTTGAAATTAGTTAACTGTGAGCCACTCAGGACACTTTAGGCAGGCAGGGAATGGGGGTGATTGTGTTTTGTTATGTGCTGAAAGGAAGACAGTGTGTTTGAGCACCTAATTTATGGGTTAGGGCTTAAATTTTTGTGGTGCACACTGTGGATTTTGTTTGGATTTTAAACTCCCAATAAATTGATCGTGGGTGTTTTCCTTGAATTTTAAATGGTTTGCCTGCTTTCTGGAAAAAGATAGCTTTTGAAATGCTACCATGGAGATAGCCAAATGTGTAGGAGCTGGCAGGAAACCCTATCTGCACATCCACCAGTGCCTTTTCCTCAGCTTTCCCCAACCAGGTTTCCTGTGGGTGTGTCAGACCGGGCATCGTTCCTATTCAGCATGGCCTTTGGCTAGCAATATTAGATGGCTCAGTCTGGGCACGGCTGGAGGGCACCACATTGGGGAAGGTGGCTTTGGGATTAAAGGGCTCACCCACAACTTGCTAAAAGGTGCACCGCACATCCCAGCCTCTTTTCACCATGGAAAGTCTCTTTCCTCCCTCCCAAAGTGTTCCAAAGAGAAGTGCACTGAAAGGCATAGATGTTGGGAGAGAAGCGATTGTGTTGTGTGCTGTTCATGTTTCCCTGCAGGTAACTTCAAGAGATGCGTGTAACATGATAGCACACCAGTGACACACCCAGCATTCTGCCTGCCCGTGCCATTCCCCCAGACCGCCCAGTTCTGTTTTCTTCCTCCTGAAACAGCAGGAGTGCCAACTTCAGGAAAGGTGGCTGCATCTCCACGGATGCAGCCTAGTGGCCATGGCAATAATCTGCAGGGAGGGGATCTGCTTCTTTACAAGGCCAGTCCCACGTGCAGCAATGTCGAATGGGCCTGTTTTTCCTGGATTGTACCATTTTACTATGCAGGGGAAGGAACCATCTCTCTGTATCTGTACATGGCTCTCTGTATCTGGAAAATGAGCCCACCAGGCAGATAGCTGATTTAAATCCTCCGTGTCCATGACACCTCAGATTTCTGTGTGCAGAGGTTTAAAAAAGCAAACCATGGTGAAGCATTTATTTAGAGTTGGCTGGCTACTGCCTCTGGTATTTCTCACCGCCTTCTGTGCTTCCTACCTGCTTGATCATTCCCATCTCCTACCTCCAGGCTGAGAAGGGCCGTGAAGCCAGTACATTCTTAGCATCCACTGTCAACTTCTGCTTGGATAGTTCAGTGATCCCCTTCCAGATGGGAGATGCATCTCTTTACAGTTTCTCCTTCTATAAGCCCCTGAGGACTGTAAGAAAAAAGAGCTCTCCCTGGAGCTTTTTCAAAAGGGCTAGTGAATTGGCCAGGCACAAACATCAACAATGGTATGGATTTCACTGTAGGGGACAGCAAAGGTGACTTCACAGGACAGGTTTTATGAAGATACATTGATTCTCATAGATTACATTTTAATTGGTACTAATAAAAGTATTGCCTGACTGGATTTTAGATTCTATACTGATTTTTGGCTAATGGTTGATTTATGTTTATCTTCACCACAACCTTTGAAGTTAGGCTTGCCCATTTTCTGCCAGGACTTCTTTAAGTTTATGTATAGTTGAAACAAAAGTTTTTTGCCAGTATGGGAAATGCCTGGAAATATTTCACACTGAATGTATCTCCAGTCATTCAACTATTAAGTGCTCAGGAGCCTTGTAATAACAGCTGGCAACCATAAAGATAAACTAGGAATATCCATTTACTCAGATCTGCCTGTGCAAAGAAGATAAGAACTTGCATTCATCTGCATAGCTACTTCTGCCACCCCTGATATCAGAAACAGAAGGAATTTGCGAAGACTTCTGTGTCTTCAGCAACTGTGTGCGAGAAGCTTTTTCAGTCACTAAATATGAAGGCATCTCTGCTGGAATCCTTTTCAGCAACTGTTAAGGTTACAGCATTTGCAGGCTGATCCTGGTAATTTTGGGCACTCGGGGCCATTGTCTAGATTTCTCCACCACCCTTGTAGTAGGTGCCTCTTCTCTTGATTTAATTTCTGCAATTTATGCCGGGGAACAGGCTATCTTTTTTCATACTTCAATAATACAGCTTCTCAAGGGACCCATTAGCTCTCTAACTGAACTTGAAATTGTTAACAAAAAGTATCCTTAAAGATATTCGTGGGAGAGGCTGCCGCCTTGTGGAGGCTACTTGTCTCTACTGTCTTGGAAACTGATCAGATTAAATGAGTCAGCACCACAGAGGAAAAGACTTCAGAGGAAGGGTTAACACACCTTTTCCTGTTCAAGAGCTTGAAGCTCCTGTTTTAATTTTAAACTGGTCCCCAGGATTCATCTTTTCTCCTATATAAGCACAGCATATTGAGAACTCAAGGTAGGGAAAGCAGAGCCAGAGTTTCCCTCTGTGCTCACATTATGTTGCTACCTGCTGCTCAATTTACCATTATGCTGTAAGAAATCAAGAAAATCAGCTTATATACACCAAATGTTTAGATTAACTTAGACAGCATTGCTGAATATGTACCAAAAGCAGTAATAATGCAAGTTCATATATGACTTGTTTGAACAACTCGTTTGGTGTGCAGTTTACTTCTTGGAACTCTCGGCATATATAGGGTGCAATTCTATGCAAGTGTAAACAGAAAAAGTCTTTTTTCTGCCTATATTTGCAAATGGCTGCATATGCTGTGCTGCTTAGTGGCTTGGCTGCTAACCAGGAATATTGATTAATGGGCTAAGACTGCAAACCCAACTCTGCATGCCAAGCTGTAGGCTCAGGCTAGTATTCTGCACAGGATGGTATATTTAAAGAAGGCTGCAAGGGTAAGAGTAAGGAAAACAGTGGTTCTGGTAGGTGGTGGTAAGAAACAGCCTGAATAAGTTGTTAAGGTGCTTTGTTGCATTTGAGGGACTCATGTACTATTGACACTACATCACTTTTTATCTTCCCTGCACTACTTTCATGTTTGTAAATAAAGCAAGATCATAAAAACTGAACAAATATTTGATATTCTTCCCTCCACCCCAAGAAAATTGAACATGAATACTCAGACATTTCTTACTCTTTGCAGAAATTGATAGAACTTACTCATTCAGGGACAAACCACATATGATATAGAAGATAAATAGGATCTCCTATGAGTTTTTGTATAAGATCAAAACAGCTGGATCAGAGGACTGCCCCCCCAAGCTGTTGTCAGAATCCCGGAATCTCAATTTGAGAAGAGGAAATAAAACTCGGGGTCATAGGAAAGATCAATCGTTATGAACCTCCACGTCTTTATTGGCTATCCCAGGTTCCCGCGGTTGACTCACGATAATGCATTACCGGGCTAGCAGAGATGAACTCGCTGCAAAGCTTTAATTCATCTACCAGCAGTTTTTATACTCTCAGTCACGTACACCCGTACAGAGCCATTAAGGACAGAATGCCTGTATTACAATAAAGTTTGGTGATCAGCATATGGAGAAAAGATACAGGAATGTCAGTCAACCATACAGACAATAAGATTGCACTATCTCACAAGGCGATTTTTGACGTATCAGTGGAGTAATTTCCAGAGGCATGGAGCCATCTCCGGGTCTACTTAGATATGTAAATTTGGGCTATCCTAAATTCTTGTATTGCATTCAGGAGGTCTGAGACCCTGAGTAAAGTATAAC